AACAGCTAAAAAATATGTTTTAGAGTCAGAGGCTTTGGTATAAAGTTAGAACCCCAAACTTTATGGTTCTTTGTTCACCCATCTTATTAACAAAATTTATTGCATCCAAAATTTTGTTAAAATAAAAATTAAAATATCTACTGATGGTAGGGAGGGGAAAGGCTATTGAGAAAAACATTTAAAATCACCACCTCCTATTTTTTTTAAATGAAATTTTGGACAGTAGAAGTGGCAGGTCTTAGAGAAAGGGGATATTCTAATGCCCCAAAACAAAGCACTTGGGCACAGGGCTAGACAGCTCAGAGCTAATTTTAGAATTCAGCAGTCAAAGCAAAATTTTTCAAAAGGATATCTGGAAAAAAAACCCAACAGTTTTAAGTTTGCATCCTTTTGTTTCAACTCAATGTGTACAAAACTAAACTAAAATTTCCCTACCAAACAATGCCATAATTGCGGAGTAGTGTGTTCCTGTCACCCATGCTATGCACAGTCATCTTTGATGCCCTTCTTGTCCTCATTCTTACATCTTCTAAATTACTAAACTGTGAATATTACCTTCAAAGTATTGCTTTAATCTGTCCTTTTCTAGCTTCTCTGTAACTGTTCTCACTCTGATCCTTCATTACCCACCTTCCAGCTAGTCTCCTGCCTTCAGTACCTCTTCTGTCACTCTTGCTAATCTACATTCGGTTCCTGGATGTTAATTTCCTTTTAAAACGGAAGTAATCATACATTAAAATATTCCCAGTTTGGAGACCCCGGGCTCCCTATGGCCCTCAGGATAAAATTGAAACTCAGTGTCCTCAGGTCCTTTATGCTCTGACCCTGGTCTACCTTCCCAGGCATAGTTCTCTCTACTCGCTGTATATCCCCTGGGTTTGGGTGAGGCTGACAGCTCTTTTTTCTCTAACATAGCTTTTGCTTTCTTTTCTTCTTTTTCTTTTCTCTGTCAACCCTCTATTATTCTGATCATTTCTGTCTTTTGGTTGTTTCACCTCTTTCATTAACCTTTTTTCCTTATGATTTTTTTTCCCCGTGAATCCCTATTACATTATGCTTATTTTTCCCTAATCATGTTCTGTTCTGTGTTATAATTATTTATGTACCTGTCTTCTCTTTTCTTGGACTAACCACATCTGATATGTTCTAACACGTAGGAAAGTGCATGACAAATGTTTAGTAATTCTTGAATCTTGAGGTATATTGACTAGTGAAGCATTAGTATGTGATTCCAATCTCCAATGATGGAGCCTGTGATATAATGATTTATAATAAATATATATGTGGTTATTCAGATGACCAAAATATATTTCTTAGACATACTTGATCTTCATCCACTGTGCCTGAAAATGCTTCAGACACAAAAAGGTGAAAGGGGTGTCTTGTTATTAGTGAAGGTGACTTTGGGAACCCAACCCCCCAAGGTTGAGACTGGTTGCCAGGAGCACTAACCATGTAATTAGAGGATTGGGACTTTCAGTCCTGCCCCCCCACCCCCCCACCTCGGGAGGGCAGAGCTGGAAGTTGAATTGGCCAATGGCTAGTAGTCTATCATGGCTATGCAATGAAGCCTCCATAAAAACCCGAGAGGACTGGGTTTGGAGAGCTTCCGGATTGGTGAACACGGGGCACACCTGGAGAGGGTATGGAAGCTCCATGTCTTTTCCCCATGCCTTGCCCCATGTAGCTCTTCATCTGGCGGTTGATTCATATCCTTTATCCTATCTTTTAACAGACTGGTAAATGTGTTTCCCTGACTTCTGTGAGCTGCTGTAACAAATTAGCCCAACCTAATAGGAGGCTGGAGACTCCACAGTCTGTAGCTTTTGGTCAGAAGCACAGGTAACAGCGTGAGGCTTGGGACTGGTGTCTGGAATAGTGGGGTGGGGAGCAGTCTTCTAGGCCTGAACCCTTAACCTATGGAATCTGATGTTCTGTCTGAGTAGATAGTGTCAGAATTTAGTTGAATTGGAGGACACTGAGCTGATATCTGGTGCATTGATTGGATGTGTGGGGAAGCCTCCCACCTCCACACGTTGGAAGTCGGGCCCAGGAACCCAAAAGAGAGCCCTAGTGTCAATTTATAGCTGGATGTAAAAGGAAAAGATTCCAGTGCCTTGGACCTGTTTCTTGATTGGATGTAAGAAAACATGACAGTTGTGTTGCTCTTCCTCCCTCTTTAGTTCTAGGCACCAAACAAACTTGCTGGATTACCAATGTATTATCTATGTGCAGATTCCAACTGACGGGATTTGGGCTGCCACAGACACATCGATTCAGTGTAGTTAGTTTGAGCTGTGTTTATCCACCCTGTTCAAGGCTTTACAGTATTCAAAGGAGATAGGAATTAATAATAACATAGTCCCTCTCTCGGGGGACTGGAGTTGGTTTGGCTTAACAGCTGCTTCTAAATGCTGGTTAGCAAAAAACACAATGCTTATATTTTTCAGTAACATGTGGGTCCATGGAGATAAAAATGTTAATTTCAGCAGCTGTGTCAATTTTACTTAGAGAAAAGGTGTCAGAACACTGTACCACCACCAGAAATAGCTTCTTAAAGGCACTGGGTGCTTGGACTTAGAAAAGCTAAAAATAAAAACAAAAACATGTTTACTTTTCAAATGGTGGTAAAATATGTTATGCTTTACACCGAAACTTTTTTCAGTGTGCTTATTTATCAGGGTTGTTTCCTGCATGACCCAAATGATAAACATCTCTGCCAAGTTTTTTTAAATTTCCAAGGGATTTTTCACCTGCCTCTCTCCTTTCAAGCTATCTACTGATATCAGAAGATTGTTTCACAGCATTTTGTTATTTACACGCATCTTAATCCAGTTTTGAAGAGAATTTGTTTTTGGCTGCTATTCAATTCCAAGAGAACAAATTAAGTAAGGTGGGTGACTGCGTAGCTGGTTGGCAGCTGGGTTTCAGAACAGCTTTGTTCTTCATCTGGTCTGCTTCAATTACACATTACTCTAATTTCCTTCTTACATTCAAACATCAAAAATAAGGTAAGGGGAAAGTTATAAAAATATAAAATAGGGTGAATTTGTGGATATGGAATCACATTACACTATTGAAAACAGATGTTGCCTTTTTATTATTACACAAAGATGCAAAAATTGCATTGCCGTGGTACACGTATTAGTTTTTACTGAGATTGAAATCACTTTCTCTGAAAAGTATCAAATACAACGAAAGCTTGATATGACATGGGTCATTCCTAAGGTACCTCTACTAGCACGAGGTCCTCTGTAGATCTGAAAACATGGGTTATCAACAATCTTGACAAAGTCGGTGCCTTGCTTTATTAGCTAAGCTGACTTTGATTTCTAAATTTCATCCTTATCCATACTGTAACATCTGTATTGAATTTTTAAATTTAACAGGTTCTTAAAGCATTATATAAAGTATGTTGTATAGACACAAGCTATTACAGATTTCGGAAAATCAGAGTGTCTTTCATAGAAGGTATGTATATCTAGAATCTTCTGGTACAAGTGACAAACTAAATTCTTAAGCAGAATAGGAATTTATGGCTCCCATAACTGTCAAGTGCAGAGGTGATCTGACTTTAGACATGGCTGAATTCCCAGCAGGGCTGCAGGGCTCTGGTTCCACAGAACCACATTCATGGCTGAATTCCCAGCAGGGCTCTGGTTCCACAGAAGAGCCACCTCTTTGTGGCTCCACCTTTTGGCTCTTCTGTGTTGGCTTCCTTCTCTCCACCTAGTGGTAGATAGATTTGGCTGCTGGTACCTGGTCCACACCATCTGTAGAGGCTTGAGATGTCAGAGAGAGAGCATCTTTCTCCTACGGTTTGGCAAAAACCTCAAGGAGGACTCTGATTTGTCCCAGTCTGGGTCTTGTGCTGTTCATTCTTAGAACAATCACTATGGGTGTACATTGCAGAGAGTGGGTGGGGACAGTGAGGGCAGAGTATAGATGGACGCCTCTGGGCAGACCTGGACCCTATTTCCCTCCTCACCATTATTACATGGACCAAGAAAAATCATGGGAAGAGGGAGGGCTGGTCCCCTAAAGGAGAGAACAATGGGCAGTAAAGCCCTTCAGTGTGTTTATTTACACCCTTTATATTTAAGTCCTTTAATATTATCCAGTACTGGGGCGCCAGTCAGTTAAGCGTCTACCTTCAGCTCAGGTCATGATCTCAGGGTCCTGGGATAGAGCCCCATGTTGGGCTCCCTGCTCAGAGGGGAGTCTGCTTCTCCCTCTCCCTCTGCCTCTGCCCCTCCCCACTGTTCGTGCACTCTCTCTCTCTCTCTCTTTCAAATAAATAAATAAAATCTTTAAAAAATGTATTATCCAGTACTTTGGAGGAGGCTAATTTCATTTATGGCCTGAATTCTATAACAATTTATATATTTAAAAAACATACAATTTTTCTGTTTAAAAGGTTTTTTTCTTTATATGTAAGTTTTTTGTTTAAAAAATAAATTGTAGGGGCACCTGGGTGGCTCAGTTGGCTCAGCGTCTGCCTTCGGCTTGGGTCATGATTCCGGAGCCCCTGGATTGAGCCCCACGTCTTCTGCTTCTCCTTCTGCCTGCTGCTTCCCTTGCTGGTGCTCTCTCTCTCTCTCTCTCTCTCTCTCTCTCTCTCAAGTAAAATCTTTTAAAAAAAATTGCAGATTCTTAATTAGAGAACTCTGCATTAGTGAACTCAGGCTGTTGCACAGCTTGGTAGTTAATAGTAATAACGGCTGACATTTACTGAGCACTTGTGTTCTAGAAATTATTCTAAGGGTTATATATGTAATATCTCATTTAACCTTCAACACAACTCTAACATGGTAGGCACTATTATTACTCCTATTTTACAAGTGGAGAAATTGAAGTGCTGAGAAATTAACTTATCCAAGGCTACACACAGTGGTGCTTCCAAGATTCCAACTCAGGCATATCAGAGCCCATGCTCTCAACAGGAGTGCCACCTCCTTTGTCTACTGTTTGTGTTGCTCTTCCCACATTTTTTGAGTCCATTTTCTTCCTCTCATGAGCACGATAAAATGCATGCTTTCTGCCCTCGCCTGCAAGGCTGCATGAGCGGGCCTCTGCCTACCTCTTCAGCATCATCCACCGTTGTCCCTGCTTGCTCCTTGCTGTGCCTCAGATATGAACCCCAAGATCATTCTGACTTCAGGAACTTCACAAATTCTGTTCCTTCCCTCGGCCTGGACTGCCTTTTCCTCAGATTATTGTCTAGCTTGATCTCTCTTTATTCAAGTCTCTGTCCAATGTTACTTCCTCCCTGGATCACTCACTAAGCCCTGTCCTGTTTTGTTTTTCTTTAGCATTTATCACTTTATAGCATTTATCTACTATTGTCTATTCTGATTTTTATCAGTCTCCCTTTCCGCTAGAATGCAAACTGCACGACGGTGAGGATTTTGTCTGTTTTGTTCATGACCTGTTGCTGGTGTCCACAGCAATGCCAGGCACACATAATGCTCTGTATTTATTAAATGAATAAACTTAGTTTCTCCCAAGAGGCTCTGAAGTAAATAAGGTAGAAAATATATCCTTTTTATAGTCGAGATGGTCTCAGAAAGATGATGTAAATACCTCAAAATAGACTGGCTAATAAGTGGTTGGAACTGAAGTGAGACTCCTCTTAGATCTGGGCAGTTTTCATTGTACCACCATGGTCTGCCTGATGTCATCTGTTTTTCTCCTCTTCGCCTTCAGAGTAGTTACAAAACATTTCTGAAATTATCACCTGTGTCACTCATCGTAGTAACCAAACCACAGCTAAATTGACTATACTTAAGAATTTGTAAGTCAGGGCGCCTGGGTGGCTCAGTTGTTAAGCGTCTGCCTTCGGCTCGGGTCATGATCCCAGGGTCCTGGGATCGAGTCCTGCGTCAGGCTCCCTGCTCGGCGGGAAGCCTGCTTCTCGCTCTCCCACTCCCCCTGCTTGTGTTCCTGTTCTCGCTGTCTCTCTCTGTCATATAAATAAATAAAATCTTTAAAAAAAAAAAAAAAAGAATTTGTAAGTCAGTTGCGCTAACTTCTGTTGTTTCTTGACATGATTGGTCTATGGCTGTAACCAAAATATTTATAAACCTGTGTTTTTTTTCTCCATCTCCCATTCCACATGTGGTCAGGCTATTTTGATTAATTTGAATTCATATATTAACTCAATGTGGATTTAAATCCTGACTCTTCTATTTACTTCTGTAAGTCATTTAATCTTCCTGGGCCTCAGTTCCCTCATGTAGTAAATAATGGTAGTAATAGAGGCTGTTCCAATGATTAAATAAGATAAAGCACCTGACACATGGTAATATTTCAATAAGCAGTAATTACGAACTGTATTGCTATGTTCTACACACTCAGTGATGTGAAAATACAACAGTGAACAATCCAGATTTGAACTCTCAGTCTAAAGGGGAGTCTTAGTCTAAAAACGAAACTAACTAATTTAGTTAAATAACTAAATTAAGGGAGATAGTTTAACAAATAACACCAGAGGTTGTGTCTCTGTTAAATACTGTAAGCAGGGGAGAGAGTATCAACCTTGGAAATATCCTTGACTTCTCCCCTCACATCCCACATCCAATACATCAGCAAATCATGTCACCTCTATGTCCACAAGACATCCAGAATTTGACCTCATCTCTCCACTCTTACTGTTAGCACTCTGGCCCAGGACTCCATCGATCTCATCTGTATGACCCTAATGGCTTCCTACCTGGTCTCCCTGTGTCCACCCCGGAGTGATCGTCTTAAAACTGAAGACAGATCATGTCACTTGTTGTAGGCAGAATAATGCCTCCCTCTCCAACAAAAGATGTTCATGTCCTAGTCCCTGGAACCTATAAATATGCTACCAAAGGACTTTGCAGATGTGATTGAGGACCTTGAGATGTGGAGACTATTCTGGATTATTCAGGTGGGCCCAACCTAAATCACATGAATCCTTAGACGTGGCTGTGGTCAGAGGCAGATGTGACCACAGAAAAAGTGGTCACAGAAATGTACATTGCTGGCTCTGAAGATGAAGAGAGTCTCTGGAAGCTAGAAAACGCGAGGAACAGATTCTCCCCCGGAGCCCCCAGAAGACACACAGCTCTGCCCTGCCAACACCTTGATTTTATCCAGGAGAGACCTGTGTCTAACTCCTGACCTCCAGAACTGTAAGACAATCAATTTGTGTTGTTTTAAGCCATGAAATTTGTGTGATTTTTAGAGCAGGAATAGAAAGCTCACATATTACTCTTCTGCTCAGAGCCTTCTAGTGGATCACACAGGGTAAAAGACAAAGTGACCTGCAAGGCCCCGAGCCATCTGGCACCCTACCTCTCTGACTCACTTTCTTCCAGTCTCACTCTGTTCCAGCCACACTGGCCTCCTTACTCTTCTTGAACCCTCCATGCACTCTCTCCACTCGAGGCGCTTGCATTGGTGGTTCTCTTTTAATGGACTATTCCTCCCCCTGAAAGCCACATGGCTGTCTCTTTCTTCCTTTGATCTCTGCTGAGAGGTCACCTCCTCAGTGAGCCCTTCCCCTACCCTCCCAATATAAAATAGGCACATGGCCCTTGCCCTGCGCACGCCCTATCCCCTCTACTCTGCTTTATTTTTCTCATTAACACTGTCACCAGCTGACATTCTAGATAGTCATGTATTACCTTCTCCCCTCACCCCCTTTTGGGAACTATGAGCTCATGAGGGCAAGGACTTGGTCACTTTTGCTCCTCTATCTCCTTGCATGGAGTCAGTGTCAGAATGAGGGGGAGAGCAGGGGCGCAGGGAACGGAGTACTGTGGGAACACAGAGGGGACATCTAAGGCCGTGTAAAGGAGTGAGGAAGACCTGAAGGGAAGCTCAGATGCAGGAGGTGACTCATGCTAGGCATAGGGAAGTGCATGTGGGAGGTCACAGCACTGGTCAGGAGGCAGGAGCACACAGGGTGGCATGATGAGGCTTGGAAAGTATTTTAAGCACTGTTCTCTGCCAAGGGGAGCGAGGCCCAGTGGCCAAGAGTGCTGACTCGAACTGGACTGTGGCTCGGGTTCAAATCCTAGCTTGCCTCTGACTAGCGGCGGGTCTTTGTGCTGGTTACTCATCATCATTGTAAGACGGGTCTGATAATAACCCGGCCTTCTAGAGCTACTGTGAGGAACAAATGAGTGAAACGTGTAAAATGTTTAGAAGAGGGCCTGGCATATGGTAAGCGTGTTTGAGTGTTAGCTATTATTATCACTGGCAACCAGGGGCCACTGAAGGGTTTCATGCAAAGGACTGACGTGATAGAACTTACAGTGTAACAGCTTCGCTCTAGCTATGCATGCAGAAACGGAGAGTGAGGAGCAGGGAAAATAATTGTTTTCTGAAAAGGGTTTTACATGAAACATGAGACCTTTTGAACCAAGAGTGGTGATTACACTTAGTTTCAGAAAATTTTACTACATAATTAAAAGTGAGTTAGATGGTTCAGAATGAGATAGCACAAGGAGTTTTTGCTTATGTGTACGGTACTTTTCAAATTACAGGTTGTGACTCTTTAGTGGGTCATAGACCAATTTCGTGGGTCAAAAACAGCTTTACCAAAACAACAATAGAAAGGAAAACAACATAGCATTTGGAAAGGGTAACATTGTATCATGACATTCCCGTTTCAATTACACAGATGTATCTATTAACCTTGTGTATGTTTATGTTACACTCACACTCACTGGTCACCAGGTCAAATGTATTTCTGACCATGTGAGAAACACTGCTGTAAGCTAGCTGTGACATCCTGGGGGCGTTCTTTCCGGAATCTTCACGGTTCTTACGGCTTTGTAAACTTACGACTCTCGATGCTGGAAATCCTCTCTGTTTGGGTGTGTGGCCCAATGTCTCGCTGTGACCTAGAGTGAGACAGAAGAAGCTAAAACCCAACACTCCTTGAGGACAGTCCCAAGGAAGCAGTTGGCAAAGCATAAGCCATAGCAGAACAGCTGCAGGAGGCTGAATCCAGATCCCAAAGTACCTTGTGTTTCCAAGTTAGGGAGTGGGAGGAAGCCCGGGGAGGTGTGAATTGCCTATCTCCATAGTGCCACCCACCTCTGCTGCCTTCCAGAGTCACTTCCACAAGCTGCCGACAGCTCGGTGACGGTACCCCTGCCCACCCTTGGCCCCTGTCAGCTGCCGATTATGGAATCAGCTGAGAACGGGGAAGGTTGGTATGGCCCTCGGAAGACTGGCGGTCCCCACGCGCTGATGGTCACCTCTGTGGAACTTTGCCAGAATTTGCCTGGCAGGTCAGCTGCTCCACGGGTGGAGGGGAGGGTTGACCTAGCGACTTACCCAATGCCGGTGGGCTCTGTACCTTCTGTCAGTGACCGCTTGGCACCGGGACCAGCCCATCCATTAGTTCTGCTCGAAAGAATCTGCTGATTGTCTGGGAGGTAAGAAAGCTGGGAGTCAGGTTGGGTAGTGGCGGCTAGGACCAGGAGAGTTGGACAACTTCTGCTCTTTGAACTTAATTATGCTGTGACCAATCATGTAGAAATCACAGTACATTGAACAGCATTACGCTTTGAGGCATTGAGGCCCCACAGCTGGGGGTGGGGAGTGTTTAACCCCTTGTACTCCTGGACTCTGCCACTTCCTTAACAGTTTATTCCTTGGTCTGGCTCTTCTTTACTAAACTGAAACGTCGTCTTTCCCCTTGTCTTCTCAGAGCACACAAATCTGCTGTTTTGAATGTGTAGTTTGGGATTTATAGCGCTTTGGCAAGCGTTTGTTTTGGTGCAAAAGGCTACTAGTAATGCCAACATTACAACATTTTAGAAATGAATACCTCAACTATTTTCCAATAAAAATAAAATATAAAAATGAATACTTCCCTCTGGTGAAACTAAACCTCTTTTTAAAAGACTTTTTTGAAGTCATAATTGTAATGTAGATCTGTACCATGCTGTGGGACAGTATATTCAAAGGAACTAACAAATAAGTAAAATTTATCCTCTCCCTTCCCAGTCCCCCACTTTTTTTTTTTTTTTTTTTTTTTTTTAACAAGAAGAAGCCACTTTGTCATTAGGAGAGATGCAGATGCCTGGGTCAGTTGGTTAAGCTACTGCCTTCGGCTCAGGTCATGATCCCAGGGTCCTGGGATCTAGCCCTGCATTGGGTTCCCTGCCCAGCATTTGGGCTCCCAGGAGTCTGCTTCTCACTCTGCCCCTCCTTCTCCCCCTGCTCATATTCTCTCTCTCAAATAAATAAAATCTTAAAAAGAAAAAAAAAGAGAGATGCAGGTATTTGGTGTAGGTAGCTTCTTAGCTTTTCAAATTAATGGACATATTTAGTTCTATTTGTACTGTTGATAAAAATTGAAGAAATGTTTTAAATTTCAACCACAGAAGTCAGTAGCTTGGTTTACCTATCAATACCAATTTTATCACGTGAAAGAAGACAATTTTTTTTCTATTGCCTAATACTTCCCTTAGCATCTCCACCTAGAATCTAGAGGCAGTTAAAGGGAAAAGAAAGATATTCAGAAGAAAAGCAGTTAAGGGTTTATGCTGAAGGTTGTGGGTGGTTTGGCATTTAAGGAGAGAAACAGTGAAGTCCAAGACTTGAGTGCCCCCAACTTCAACAGCAGCAGGGGAGAGACCTACTCTTCACTGCCTACCCCTTTGTACCATGTGCAAATGTTTTAAGTATTTAAATCATAACAATAGCAACAAAACTAAAGTCCCTGAATATTTTAATTTAACCTTCGTTTCCATGTTTGGGAATGCCAAATTTTCTTAAAAATAATACAAGCAAAAAACATAGGGTACGTGTTTTGATGCCCACCCAAAGGAAGTACCAGAATATCCTATGATAATACCACATCCTCACATAGAAGCACTTTCAAAGTTGCGGATTCAGCATTTGAGAGAGGTTTCAGTGGAAGTGCAAGTTAGTTAGCTAACAGGTAATAGGAATATAAATTAAGCTTGTATAAATTCCTCTTGGAACTCTGGAAAATGTCTTTCTTAACATGCTGGTTTGAATTCTTTCTTTAGCTAACTAGAACCACATTAACAGTATATTTCATTTTTAGCCTTGTCAAAAAAAAAAAAAAGCCTAGGTTTTTGGCATAGCTTTTTACTCTTTTCCCTATAAGGTGTTAATTTTTTTTAAATTTTTTTTTAATTTATTTGAGAGAGAGAGAGAGAGAGAAACAGCATGAGAGGGGATAGGGTCAGAGGGAGAAGCAGACTCCCCGCTGAGCAGGGAGCCCGATGTGGGACTCGATCCCAGGACTCCGGGATCATGACCTGAGCCGAAGGCAGTCGCTTAACCAACTGAGCCACCCAGGCGCCCAAGGTGTTAATTTTTTTAAACTTTCATTTTAACTGCCTTATTTAATATTTTTTAATTCAAGAACTATGCAGAATATAAATAATTAAAAGAAAGTAAGTAGATACAACTTGAAATTCTTCAGGATCCACTGTTCCTGGAATATTTTTTTCTGATTATAATAGTAATATAAGGGGTGCCTGGCTGGCTCAGTCAGAAGAGCATCTTGATCTCGGGGTTGTGAGTTTGAGCCCAACATTGCATGTAGAGATTACATAAAAATAAAATCTTTAAGGGGCCCCTGAGTGGCCCATTTGGTTGAGCGACCGACTCTTGGTTTTGGCTCAGGTCCTGATCTCAGGGCTTGAGATCAAGCCCCGCCACGACTCTGTGCTCGGTATGGAGTTTGCTTGGGGTTTCTCTCTCCCTCTCCCTCTGCCCTTCCTCCTCACCCCCTAAAAAAAACAAGTTAATAAATCTTTAAAAAAGTAAAATATTTAAAAATATATGTATAACTGTCTACAACAAAAGAAGATACTGCATTAAAAAATGAAGCAAAACCTATAATCATTGCTAGCATTTAATTTATTTCCTTTTTTTCCCCCTAAGAATAACTTACATGGTATTCTACTATACGGATATATTGTGATTTATTCAACCAATGTATTAGTAAAAAACTTAGGATATATCCTTTTTTCCTCTAGGAACAACACTGCAGCAAACATGCATATGTGTATGTGTCCTGTCTTTTTCAGATAAATTGAAAAGATACACCTATTTAGCATTTTGATACATATTTCCAGAATGTCCAGAAAAGGTCTATGCTCCTACTAACAGCTTGCGGGAACCTCTGTCTGCACAGTTTCACTGATATTTACTTAATTTTTCGCTTTATACATGTTTCCTGTTTCCTTTTTTTTTAGATTTTATTTATTTATTTGACAGAGAAAGACACAGCGAGAGAGGGAACACAAGCAGGGGGAGTGGGAGAGGGAGAAGCAGGCTTCCTGCCGAGCAGGGAGTCCGAAGCAGGGCTCAATCCCAGGACCCTGGGATCATGACCTGAGCCAAAGGCAGACTCTTAACGACTGAGCCACCCAGGCGCCCCTCCTGTTTCCTTTTTGAAAGCAGTTTATCTTCTCAGGAGCCTGAGCTCTCAGAACTTGTAGCATCACCAGCCATGCTTCTTTTGAAGAATAGGCATTTCCTCCTGTGTTGTGTGTGGCAGAGGGAAGGCTGTGGGACTGGGATCTGCCTGCCTCCTCCTGCAATAAGGAAAGCCCCAATCTCGAAAATGCACCTAAGTGCTAGTCATTTATTTAATATTAAATAGTAATTGAGCTCCAACTATCTGCCAGGCCCTGTGCCACATGATAGGAATACAGTGGTGAGCAAAACAGACGGTCTCTGCTCTCAGGAAGTTTTATATTCCTAGTGGACCATTTCCTAAGGCATTCTTTTCTATCTTTACCATCTAAGAGGGGAGCAAAAGTATATCTTTCTAACTTGCATGTGTTTGATTTCTGAATCAATAATTTTTTGCCCATTTGTATTTCTTCCACTTTTTAATATGACCATTCTTGGTCTTTTCTTTCTGATTTGTCAGGATTAATTACATTAATCCTTTGCCATGGTGGTAGATACCAGTGCCCTCTTTGTCCTTGCCAACTGGCCCCTGACTTAGTTCAGGTGCTGGATGACCATGGTAAGTGGAACTGGATTAGGTGCCTGGGCTTTTAGGAGAAACAGGAAACAGTGTGCTGAGCCCTGGCTAGGCACTGAATTCCCACGTGATCTCGTAAGTGCACAGATCACTCACTCACTGGGCCTCCGTTTCCTCACCTGTAAAATAAAGGGGCTGGACAGGACAATGTTTTTAGGTTCCTTCTAGCTCAGATAGTCTATAATGTTATGGGTTTAAGAGTATGTTTGCAAACTCAACAATATGTATTGAATGTTAATGCAAGGAACTATGCTAGACAGTGAATACACACAGAATAAGATAAAGGATCCATGGGCTAGTAAGGGGACATAGATGTATAAACAAACAAAGAGTAATCTATTAGGATGGAGTTTTCAGTGCATGAGACAATGAGCTATCTCTCTCTCTCTATATATATATTTTAAGGTAGCTATCTTGCACTATTCACAAATATTGAGTCCACATGTGATTAGAGATTTACATGAGAGGAACAAAATTTTTGAAGATCATATAAAAGAATGTCTTCATAATCTCAGGGTATAGAATAATTCCTTCAAATACAAGAAGCACAAATAATAAACAAAAAGATAGATTTGGATACATTAAAAATAATTACTTCTTTTTATTAAAAGTCACCATATAGGGGCACCTGGGTGGCTCAGATGGTTAAGCATCTGCCTTCGGCTCAGGTCATGATCTGGGGGTACTGGGATCGAGTCCCACATTGGGCTCCCTGCTAGGCGGGGAGCCTGCTTCTCCCTCTGCCCCTCTCTCTCTGACTCTCATGAATAAATAAATTAAAAAAATTAAAAAAAAATAAAAGTCACCATATAAAAAATAGAGCATCCACAACTGAGAGAAGATAGTTGCAACACATAATTGACAAAAGATATAAAGATGTTCTGCGAGTAAAGAAAAAATAACTCTAATAAAAACTGGGCAAAAGATATGAATAAACATTTCACAGAAGTGGCAACATGACTGACCAATAAGCATTGTAAAAAGATGTTCAAGCTCATTAATAATCAGGGAAACATATATAGGTAAATTAGAAACTCAATGAGATGATTTTTATACCATCAGATTGGGAAGAATTAAAACATTTGACAGCACCAAGTATTAGAGAGGGTAAGAAGTAATGGGAGCTCATGCAGGGTGGGGGTAAGACAAAGTGGTTTAACACTTGGCAATAAGGTATCTCCATCTTATAAAGTTGAGGGTCTGTATACTCCATGGCTCAGCAATTCCACTCCTAGGTATACCCTGGAGATACTCTTATAAACGGATACATATCTGTGTGCATGCACCCCTCGTGTCCCTTCCTCTTGTTATAAGGACACCAGTCATATTGGATTAGGGCCCCGAACTTATGGACAAGAATGCTCACAGCGGCATTGTTTCTGAAAACA